ATATATATATATATATATATATATAGGTTATGTATTTTACGTGCACCAAGACAGAGTGATATGAGGAGGACAAGCCCGAGCTGTTTATGCCTACTACCCGCGTGGGCTACCTTCACACCGAACAAACCGGCCTTGGCGCCCAATTCATCTTTATCATCCCAGTTTCTCTTCCTCCTATCTCCCTCTTCCTCAAGCCTTCGTACACGAGTCCGGACACGTGCAAGGCCCAGCTCGCGGCAGACAGCTCTAAACAGCCAGACATCTACTTATACATTTCGCGTTATGTCTGCTTGTGCTCGGTGGATTAATGTCTATGTGCTTGCTCTCGTCCTTCTGCATTCGCCGATCTGGACGTCTTCGGACTCTGTCTACGGGATGTAATTTTTGACATCACTACAGAGCCCCAAAACTGCGTCATCGCAACTTGGCCACGTATAACGGCCTGTTACTGCCTCACCCTTTCTGTCTGTGTATGTGTCTGTGTGCTTCTGGGCTTTGTGGACCAAGAAACTCCACGCCCATTAGCCTAGACCTTCACGCCGCAGTAAATCATAGCCTCTGCCTACCCACTTGACTCATCGATAGCGTCATGACTCCTCAGCTTCACCACTTCTCTACCGGCTCTCGCCCGAGTTTTGCCACCTTGGTCTTCGTCACAGCTTCCATCCACTACTTTTTGTGCCATCTGTTTTGTTGTCAATGCGCGTCGAGTTGTTCCGTCTCCTGTCCTATACTGATTCAGAAACCTTCCATATTCAGTATTCATTTTTCTATCTCTTTTCTATTGATATGGCCAAGTCTCTCATTCCGCCAGCGTCAATTGTTAGTCAACAATTGGTGCATCATCGAGTGCATGCGTCTGGGAGAATGTAACCATCGTATTTAATTTCTCGGACCTAGACACTCCGTTGTGCTATATCCTGCTGCTGCCATTAACCCATCCTTAGTTTAGTAGAGACTTCACCATCTTGACGAAATAGGGCGAATACCTCTCATAAATTTATTATTCGTTTCATTATTATTAGTGTCGTAATTGACATGGTCTCTCATCGTATCGTTCATACTGGTGATATTGCGAGGAATATACTACTCGGCTGTGATTCATGAGATTTGTCAGCTTATTTTGCCATTTCTGTACAATTTTGTCCATTCTTTCTCACATGTATCAGTCATCCCTGTTGTTCGGGCCTCAATAATAATTTCGATTAGTAGTTGGTTGTATCCTTCAAGAACGTTCACATTTGTCTCTTGTGTAGTGGGTGTGGATGGTGAATATAATCCAAACGAATTTGCGATAAAGTCTTACTTGCTATAGAATTTATTCGTACCTTGTATTCCAAAAGTGGATTCGACTAGCACTAATCAGGCTTGCTTACTCGATTGGCGAAATTTAAGCAGAATTCCACCTTCCTATACCATTAGTTTGCTGGAGGAAATAAGATTTGATCTTAGTTCCTTGAGAAAATTCTTATTCAGCTTTCGGTGAAGTCAAATTACGAATCACTTCCATTCGGCTCTTCAAACGAAATGAAATGTACTCTAACATTGACATGAATTGGCTTGGGGTATTTTGTGAGTTCCACTATTGTTATCTCCAGAGCTATAGCTTCTTGTGCATTTAGGATTACATAGGCGAGTTTGGGACTTACATTTGATTCGGTCTTGCGCATTTAAGTTCGTGTGGTAAATAACTTGCTATTGTGGCGATTTTCATTTGGTATAAAAGTGACCTTTGAAGAGCTTCGTACACTGAGTTCACTAAAAAACAACGGCTAATTTCTGCTGTAACTCCAGTAACTA